CCAGTGAAGCAACGTCCTCCACAACTAGACTGAAGAACAAAATGACAGCAACTTGTCTGTTCCCCTTTCCCCAATTCCCCAGCGCTGTTCCTATCCCCCCAATTCCCCAATAAAAATCTTAAAAACAAAAACAAAGTTCTACTCCTCACCTGTCATTGTGAAGCGTATCTGTGAGCCTACCATAGTCTTCCACCAAACACTTCTCAGGTGTATGAATCAAGACAAACAGAAGCATCAACCCTCACAAAGGATTGCGTTATATTCAAATAAGATGTTGAGGCTTTGAGCCATTGCTGTAACTGTAGGGCCAGATATTTACATCATGGCAAGTGTATGCCTTACATAAATCTAAGTTTCAGCAAGACCTTAGAATGCCAGTATGACACTGATCTGGTTTCTTTCAGTCATGTGACCGATGAAGTGACAGAGGATTTTTCTCCTTGGGATCCAAGAACTGTTGTGAAGCAAGATGGTAGGAGCTGCACACCAGCATTGTCCCTGCCTGAGCTGGAAAGGGAAGAGGAAAAAAAAGACATTTCAGATCCTGTGGACCCAAATCCCTGTAGTGCAACCTACAGCAACTTAGGTAAGTGGGAGTGTCATATAAGCAGTATTTTACTTTGCCTTTTCATGCATTAACTAAATGATGTATTTCGCTAGAGAGGTGATTTTTATTGCTCCATGGAGCAAAAGTTGAACAATGAAATGATAAATCTTAACTCTCATCAGAAAAAGTCCTGGTATTTACTAGGCATGTATTACACACCTGGTACCATGAGGCCTGTGCCATGTGCTAAGGGTGTGGCATGATCCTTGCCTTCAGGGACCCACCTAAAGGTAAAGAGAAGAACTTGTTGATGATCTCAGTATTATATGATAAATGCAGTGACAGAGATACACAGGGAATATTTTTTATAGCACATAGGCAAGGGTTATGTTAGTTATCAAAAGATAACTTCCTGGGGATAATTCCAGAAGTGATTTAGCTGGTTGAAGTGGGAACAAAGAGTATTCCAACCAGAGCCAACAGCATGAGCAAAAGCATAGGCAGGTGAAGTCGCTGGCGCAGGTGGCACCCTGGCCATCGGCATGGCTGCACTGTGAGCTGCAGACTTGGCCAGGTCCTGCCTGCAGCTTTGTGACATGGTGAGCCATCAAAGGGTTCTAAGCAGGGACATAACATGATGAGATTTGTGTTTTCTTTTTCAATTACAGCTGACAGTCAATATTATATCACTTTCAGGTGTACAGCATGGTGGTTAGACATTTACCATATTTCCCCATGTATAAGACGCACCCTTTTCCGAAAAATTTGGGGCCTAAAACTGGGTGCATCTTATACAGTGGTTGTAGATTTTTTTACTTGCATTTCCCACTGAGGATGATGCAATATATGAAGACAGTGATTCGTCATCAGACACAGAAGAGGACAAGCTAATGGTTGGGAGTTTTGATAGTGATGAGGAGTTGTATGAATTTTATGATGAATAAAACTTGAGTTCAATAACTTTATGTAATACATTTTTTTTCAAATTTCGGGCCCCAAAATTAAGGTGCGTCTTATACATGGGAGCATCTTATACATGGGGAAATATGGTATATAATTTACAAAGTGATCCCCTGATAAGTCTGGTACTCACCTGACACCATATATAGTTATTATAATGTTATTGACTATATTCCCCATGCTGTACTTCACATCCACGTGACTGTTCCGTAACTACCAATTTGTACTTAATCCCTGCCCCTTTTTCATCCAGCCCCCAACCTCCCTCCCGTCTGGTAACCATCAATTTGTTCTCTGTATCAATGAGTTTGTTTCTGTTTTGTTTGTTTCTTATTTTGTTCTTTAGAGTCCACATATAAGCGAGATTATATGCTATTTATCTTTCTCAGTCTGACTTATTTCACTTAGCATAATGCCCTCCACGTCTATCCATGTTGTAGCAAATAGTAAGATTTCATATTTTTAATGGCTGAGTAATATTTCATTGTGTATATGTACCACATCTTCTATATCCATTTGTCTATTGATAGACCAATTAGGTTGCTTCCATATCTTGGCTACTGTAAATAATGCTGCAGTGTACAAAGGGGTGCATAAATCTTTTCATATTAGTGTTTTGAATTTCTTCAGATAAATGTCCAAAAGTGGAATTGCTGGGTCATATGGTTGTTCTATTTTTAATTTTAGGAGGAACCTCCATACTGTTTTCCATAGTGGCTATACCAATTTGCAACCCCACCAACAGTGCATGAGGGTTCCCTTTTCTCCACATCCTCACCAGCACTTGTTTGTTGATTTATTGATGATAGCCATTCTGACTGGAGTGAGGTGATATCTCATTGTGGCTTTTATTTGCATTTCTCTGATGATTACTGACTTTGAACACCTAATTATGTATCTGTGGCCATCTGTATGCCCTCGTTGGAGAAATTCATGTCACTGCCCGCTTTTTAATGGGATTGTTTGTCTTTTTGGTGTTAAGTTGTAGAAGTTCTTTATATATTTTGGATATTAACACCTTATCAGATGTATCATTGGAGAAAATTTTTTCCCACTCAGTAGGTTGTCTTTTTGTTTCGTTAATGGTTTCCTTTGCTGTGCAAAAACTTTTTAGTTTGATATAGTCCCAATTGTTTAGTTTTGCTTGTGTTGTCTTTCCCCAAGGAGACATATCCAAAGAATACTGCTAAGACCAATATAGAAGAGTTTATTAGCCTATGTTTTCTTCTAGAAATGTTATGGTTTCAGGTCTTATATTTAAGTCTTTAATCCATTTTGAGTTTATTCTTGTATATGGTGTAAGAAAGTGGTCTAGTTTCACTTTTTTGTATGTATATGTCCCAACACTATTTATTGAATAGACTGTCTTTACCCCATTGTATATTCTTGCCTTCTTTGTCATTGATTAATTGACCATATATGCATGGGATTATTTGTGGGTTCTGTTCTGTTCCATTGATCTATGTGTCTATTTTTATGCCAGTACCATGCTGTTTTGATTACTATAGCCTTGTAATATATTTTGATATCAGGTAGCATGATACCTCCAGCTTTGTTCTTCTTTCCCAAGATTACATTGGCTATTCGGGGTCTTTTATGATTTTATATAAATTTTAGGATTATTTGTTCCAGTTCTGTGAAAAATGCCATTGGTATTTTGATAGGGATCGCATTGACTTTTGGTAGTATGGACATTTTAATGATGTTAATTGTTCTTATCCAGGAGAATGGTATTTGCTTCCACTTATTAACATTAACATCTCTTCAGTTTCTTTCTTCATTGTCTTAATTTATCAAGTACAGGTCTTTTACCTCCATGATTAAATTTATTCCTAGGTGTATGTGTGTATATATATATATTTTTTTTGATGCTGTTTTAAATGGGATTGTTTTCTTTATTTTTTTAAATTGAGGAATTGGGGGAGGGGAACAGTGTTGGGGAATTGGTGAGGGGGACCAGCCAAGTTGTTCTTCAATCTTAGTTGTGGAGGGTGCCAGTCACCATCTGGTTGCCCATCGGCAGCTCATGGCCTTTAAGCTCAAGGTGCTATGTTCCAATCTTAGTTGTGGGTGGGCATACCCACCATCCTATGCAGGAGTTGAACCCGGCAGCCTTGTTGTTAAGAGCGTGCACTCTATCCACTGAGCCATCCGGGCAGCAGCTCAGCTCAAGGTGCCCAGTTCAGTCTTAGTTGCAGCATAGCCACCATTCAATGCAGGAGTCGAACCGGCAGCCTTGTTGTTAGGAGCATGTGCTCTCACCAGCTGAGCCATCCTGCCACTTGTAGGCAACTCAGCTTGGGTGCAGCATCACTGGCCCATGTGGGACTCAAACCAGTGGCCCTGTTGCTTAGAGCTCACGCTCTTAAGCCAACTCTTAACCAACTGAGTCACTTGGCCGGCCCTGGGATTGTTTTCTTAATTGTTCTTTCTGATAGTTCATTATTGGTGTATAAAAATGCAACTGGGGCCGGCCGAGTGGCTCAGTTGGTTAAGAGCGCGCTTAAGAGTGCGAGCTCTGAGCAACAGTGGTTCGAGTCCCAGCCTGAGCTGAGCTGCCGCTGAACTGCCAACAGGTGGCAGGATGGCTCAGCTTAAAAAAAAATGCAACTGATTTCTGAATATTAATTTTGTATCCTGCTACTTTACTGAATTAATTAATCAGTTGTATAATTTTTTTTGGTGGTCTTTTTAGGGTTTTCTATATATAGTATCATGTCATCTGCAAATAATGACACTTTTACTACTTCCTTTCCAATTTCTATGTTTTTATTTACTTATTTGTCTGATTGCTGTGGTGAAGACTTCCAATACTATGTTGAATAACAGTGGTGAAACTAGACATCCTGTCTTCTTGATCTTAGGAAAACACTTATTTAGCTTTTTTAGTAATAGTTAGCTCTGGGTTTGTCATATATGGCCTTTATTATGTTGAGGTATGTTCCCTGTACTCCCACTTTGCTGAGAGTTTTTATCATAAATGGATGCTGGAATTTCTCAAATGCCTTTTCTGCATCTATTGATAGTATTGTATGTTTTTTCTCCTTCATTTTGTTTATGTGCTGTATCACATTGATTTGCAGATATTGAACCAACCTTGAGTCCCGGGAATAAATCCCACTTGATCATGGTGTATGATCTTTTTAATGTATTGCTGAATTCAGTTTGCTAAATTTTTTTAAGGATTTTTGTTTCAATTTTCATCGAGGATATTGATCTGTAATTTTCTTTTTTTGGTAATATCTTTGTCTGGTTTTGGAGTGAGGGTACTACTGGTCTTGTAAAGGGAGCTTGAGAGTCTTTCCTCCCCTTGAATTTTTTGGAACAGTTTGGGAAGAATAGGTGTTAATTCTTCTTTGAATGTTCAGTAAAATTCACTTGTGAAGCCATTCAGTTCAGGACTTTTGCTTTTTGGGAGTTTTTTCATTATTGATTCAATTTTGTCAGTAGTTACTGATCTGTTCAGATTTTCTGTTTCTTCTTCACTCAGTCTTTGAAGATTATATGTTTCTAGGAATTTATTCATTTCTTCCAGATTGTCCAATTTGTTGACATATAATTGCTTGTAGTATTTTTTTTATAATCCTTTGTATTTTTGTTATCTCCTCTTTCATTTCTGATTTTGCTTACTTGAATCTGCTTCTTTTTCCTTGATTAATCTGGTTAAAAGTTTGTCAATTCTGTTTATCTTTTTAGTGAACCAGCTTTTGATTTCATTGATGTTTTGTATTGTTTTTTAGGCTCTATTTTATTTATTTCTGCTCTGATCTTTATTATTTCCTTCCTTCTACTCACTTTGGGCTTTGTTTGTTCATCTTTTTCTGGCTCCTTTAGGTATAAGGGTAAATTGTTAATTTTCAGATATTTCTTGTTTCCTGAGGTAGACCTGCATTGCTATGAATTTCCCTCTTAAAACTGCATTCATTGTACCCCATAGATTGAGGGTCATTGTGTTTTCATTTTCATTTGTCTTGAGGTATCTTTTGATTTCTTCCTTGATCTCATTGTGAGCCCATTAATGTTTAGTAGCATGTTATTCAGCCTCCATGTGTTTGTGTGTTTTTCAGTTTTCTTCTTGT